AGCGACGAGATCTCCTCGGGAAACAAAAAAAATTCCCCATACTTATGTAAAAAAACAATCTATGTATATGTGTACAAACGGTTGACGACGTCAGTACTATCAACAAGCTTTAAACAAGGTCACCTAGAGTGAGTGAGTGAGTGAGTGAGTGAGTGAGTTGTATGCAGCATTACGTTTGCAATATTCCATCTACATCAGGGCGAGCTGTGAGTAATTAGGGCCTGCCAACTTAATGGTTTCTTAATGTCAAACGATCGAGGAACGCCGACACGCATCTTCCTAACATAGGCTTACGATCATTGTAGAGCTAAGGTGACCGTAACTCCCATACTTTAACATAGGCTTACGATCATCGTAGAGCTAAGGTGATCGTAGCTCTCATACTTTAACATAGGCTTACGATCATCGTAGAGCTAAGGTGATCGTAACTCCCATACTTTAACATAGGCTTACGATCATCGTAGAGCTAAGGTGGTCGTAACTCCCATACTTTAACTTAGGATCACGATCATCATAGAGCGAAGGTGATCGTAACTCCCATACTTTAACAACGGCTTACGATCATCGTAGAGCGAAGGTGATCGTAACTCTCATACTTTAACATAGGCTTACGATCATCGTAGAGCTAAGGTGATCGTAACTCTCATACTTTAACATAGGCTTACGATCATCGTAGAGCTAAGGCACTCTGCATCACAGCGTTCAGCCGATCTTACATTGGTTTGACGCAGTATTTTACCTGTACCTACTTGCTAGAAGAGAATGTATTTTAGACATTTCCTCTTATGAAAAAGCGGGTACATGGAGCTCCGTGTCACACAAACATCTCACAATCCCAGTTCCTTAACTTTACAAGGATCCGCTGGTCATAGGGATCAAATGGTCCCAGATATGACCCATTGATTCATATACTACTGATATAAACATTGTAAACCTGATATAAGATAGACGATGAAACGAAATTGAAGTGCTTTATTATGAAAAAAAGACTGACACTGAAATAGGTTATACTGTCGAGGTAGTGAGTGAGTGAGTGAGTTTGATTTTACGCCGCTTTTAGCAATATTCCAGCAATATCACGGCGGGGGATACCACAAATGGGCTTCACACATTGTACCCATGTCGGGAATCGAACCCGGGTCTTCGGCGTGACGAGCCAACGCTATAACCACTGGGCTACCCGACCGCCCCCTGTCGAGGTAGTAAACTCCACATGAAGAAACAAACACTAGCGAGACCAGGGCCCACTTGCACAAAGCGCTCTTAGCGCTAAGACTATCGTAAGCCTATGTTAAAGTATAAAAGTTGCGCTATCTTAGCGCTAAGATCGCTTTGTGCAGGTGGGCCCAGGACGGAGCTAGATTTAGGTGCTGTGGGGAGCAAACGACCCCTGTCTGCAAAGTACTCCAGACTAATGTAATATTACTGAGGATGAGTAACAGTTTTGAATTATTACTGAATTATTCGTATATGTACCATTTTTAATCTTTTTGGACTCTTAAATAGTCATTTATTCTACTTAGTTATCTTTTACGTTAATCTATTTATGTAAATAAATATATTTCACTTTTTTCCCCAAAAAAACCTGCATTTCATTTATCTACCACCATCTAAATTAACTGAAATAAAAAGTTTAAAAACAATTTCAAAGAAAACAAAACAATTCTTAACGAACAGAATATTTTTTCCGGAGGCAGGACATTGCTATCCGACGATGTGTTGTCACGGATTCAGCTAGCTAAATATGCTCGGAATGCAGGTCCATCTCGCAGTCATTCATTGTGGCTGAGTGAGCGAGCGAAAGGGTTTAACGCCGCCCTGAACAGTAATTTCGGTTATATCACGGCGTGTAATGTTTGATGTCGGAGGAGGGGGCGGTCGGGTAGCCTAGTGGTTAAAGCGTTCGCTCGTCACGCCGAAGACCCGGGTTCGATTCCCAACAAGGGTTCAACGTGCGAAGACCATTTCTGGTGTCCCCCGCACTGATATTGCTGGAATATTGCTAAAGGCGGCGTAAAACCATACTCACTCACTCACTGATGTCGGAGGAATGCCCGAACTTCATGCAAGGTTTAGACGTTTGCCATTGGTGAACGAGCAGGTGTTGTGCTTTACAACCGAGAACATTATCAGAACCAACCGGGATTATGTAGCGAATTGGGCGCGGCGCCACATACGACTGGCCCAGCTGTGACCACGGTTACTTGATGTTGACGTGTCTGCGATAAATCGGGATAGGACTATGCTCCATGTGATCTCGCACTGGGCAACAGAAAGTTGTGCTAGATCCAACAGCATGATTGTAGTAATTGTAAAGCAAGGGTGACGGATCTTCTAATTAAGATGAATTTTGCTACCTCCTTTATTGTTTCAAACAATGTGTTTCAATCAATACAACAATTTACGGTAACGTAGTTCAGAGACCGCACGCACTCACGCACGCACACGCACGCACGCACGCACGCACGCACGCACGCACACATATTTATGGTCTCTGCGTAGTTTAATCCAATGAGGATAAAATACAGACTGAAAAATTCGAATCAATTACCGAAAGCGTTTAATGTCTAAAGCGCACATAAAATGATCAAAGCAAGCTCTCAGTGAGTGAGTGTGTGAGTTTGGTTTTAAGCCGCTTTTAACAGTATTCCAGTTATATCACGGCGTGTCAGCTTAATGTGGGAGGAAAGCCCGAAGTGATGCAGGTCTCAGACGTTTACCACTTCGGTGAAACCCACGAGCAAGGGTAGGGCGCTGACAAACCTAGAAACATAATCGGGGCGAACCGGGATTCGAACCCACAATCATAGGTTTCTGGCGTGCCCAAGGGACGCAACTCTGCACAGCGAATCGCGGCGCCTTAGACGACTGGGCCACCCGTGCCCCCTCTCAGTGAGTGAGTTGATAACCACAGTCTGCTATCTTGTAGTGTTGTCATGGCCACACAGTGGTAAATGTATTTAAACAGCGCAAAAGTCGCAATTTGGACAAGAAGAGGGTCCCCGTGACCGTGAAAATGCACATGTTGCACGTGCATATAAAAATCACGTTGGTGTTACAACAAACATGTATGCACGTTTATAAGGCGCCAAATCCACACCCTACAACATGCTCAAAGCGCTACTTTGCCCCGGTCAACGGATCAGTGTGGGCTCATATTTTCCATTCTCAGCTCCCTGGGGAGAATACAACACAAGCTGCCTTGTGAGGCGCTAGAAGGTTAACAGTTCTCATCCTACCGAGTACCCATTCACTGCTGGGTGAACAGCCAGCCTACACGTTTCGCAGCTGATTTAATGAATGACACTTACATATTCCGGACAACCAATGCTTTTATCATATTACCTTTTTGAAATTGTCGTTTGATTTCCAGATAAACCTTTTGATCGGGAATACTGCATACATCATACCTATCACCCCTGGGGAAAAATGGACTGTTCCGCTAATACATATTCAGAGGAGTCAAATGTTTGGTCTGCGTGTTCTCTTCTGTGTCTAATTATATAAGAGTAAGAATGTCACAAAGCCCGCGCGAGTTCACAACTGTTTGAAAGAGTAGTTCAGTTATATCAAGTGACGATGTCTGAGACACAAGCAAAATAGAATGCATATTCGTGAAAATAGTATGTTTTTCTATCGAATTGTGAATGAGTGAGTTAAAATTTAACGACACATTGGCAATATTTCAGATATTTCACCTCTGATATAGTGAGTGAGTGAGTGAGTATGGTTTTACGCCGCTTTTAGCAATATTCCAGCAATATCACGGCGGGGGACACCAGAAATGGGCTTCACACATTGTACCCATGTCGGGAATCGAACCCGGGTCTTCGGCGTGACGAGCGAACGCTTTAACCACTAGGCTACCCGACCGCCCCCTCTGATATAGCCACTGGATACAAGGAACACGTATATAGAAAGAAACCAGAAAAACATCCAGGTTAGAATTAGTCTCCAGCAACCCATGCTTGTAAGAGGCAACTAGCGCTATCGGGTGGTCAGGCTCGCTGACTTGGTTGATTCATGTCATCGTATCCCATTTGCGTAGATCTATGCTCATGATGTCAATCACTGGATAGTCTGGTACAGACCGCCGTCATATAGCTGAAAATTGCTAACAAGGCGTTGAACAACAAACAAACAAAAAATAAAGAGGATATGTCAAAAGGTAACATTTCTATCCGTAATCGAAGAAAAGATGACGTTTAGGTAAATTAATGAATTTGCAATGTTTTACAAATATTTATTTCGATTTAAGAACATTGAGTTTATGCTACATACTTAAGTTCAGCTATATTTCAATAACCACTTCACAATTAGAAAATAGTATTAAGAAAGTTGGGTATTCATTGACATCTCACAGTGATAGAGAGCCTGCATTTCTAGTTTCAGTAAGTACGGTGATAAAACTGTCAACCTACAAATATACGCCCTACTTGAAATTAACTAAGGACGCCATAGAGTATGGGATTGTACAGCTGTTAAACAATACCCTACACGGGCAAACCTGTTAATTAAGAACCCATGGTCGGGGTAGAGTTGAAAACCCATGCAGCCCTGATACGGAATATTGTGTACGATAAACATATTGGCAAAGCTGCATTAAAATGTTTCTCGGGCCCATTTATTTCAAAAGTGAGGACAGAGGTCTGACTTTTTACAACATTTTTCATCGAAACAGGAGTAATGGGACCATTTCATTTTTTGTCAATCAACAATACCCAGAAGCAGAAGTGGGCACACATCGTCTCGGCTCTTAAATGCAATATCAGTTTGAAGACCGCCTCCGTGGTCCGGGGTTCGATCCCCGGCCGCGTCATACCAAAAGACGTTAAAAGCTGGTACTTGTTGTTACCCTGTCTGGCGCTCGGCATTAAGGGGCTAAAACAAGGACTGGTCGGCTCGGAGTCAGTATACTGTGTCTGAGTGGGGTATTCATGTTAAACTGCGGCATGGTATCTCAGTGAGCTAGCACTATAAATCGGCATCAGTCCGGACTAGTACAAGCAGCCACACACACACATACACACACGTGCATGCACGTCGCTATATAAGTGCAATAATCTTGGACGCGACGTTAAACCCCATTTCACCTCACCTCAAGTTTGAATAACAGTTGCTGCTTACATGACGCGGGAATTTGAAAACTCTTTATATTGGCAATAAGAATGACTGACGCGCCCCGAGAAACATTTCCTAACCTAAAGCAACTCATATTTCATCCGCTATAACCTCTGGTGCTTAGACTGCAGGACAGTAACCGTACTATCATTGTTAACGGGTCAGGGCTTATTTGCAATTCGTTGTAGACATTACAGACTACAGAGAATACTCAATACTCATTTGCAAATCTCATGACCAAACTGTTGTAAACACGTCAATTTTTCCTGCTCGTCAAAATACCACATCCCGGTTATGTGCATCCGTTGGGATGAATCCACAATGGCTATTATTGTGTTGTCAATTACACGGGCCCGTTCTTGCTGATTAGTGATGACAACAATCGATAATGGACCTGTGATTGAAATACATGTTGGTACATGAACGTCATGGAATTGAAAGGATAGAGTTTGCAGATTGCAGAAATATCATGGCGGATTAGCACAATAACTGGTTTCACAATGTGTCTCAATTCGAGAAATACCGCCGTCATATCGCTTCAATATTGCGGCGTTAAACAACAATGTTTGTAAACAAACAAATACACAAACAAACAATCCGAGTAGTCGAAACTGATATGAATGTACCTACTGTAGAACCCCGTTTTCTCGAACTTTGGTGGTCGAGGTTAAACTTCGAGCTATACGTACACTCGAGATAGTGGTTAAAGTTCGAGCTACGCGAACATTCGAGATAACGGGTATAACTAGTAACCGAATCCGGCACAATACGTTTGGGGAATAGATCTTTTCTTAATAGCACTTGTTTCAAACGTTAAAGTCACCATGCAGTAAAAATGAAAATGTTGATACACAGTTTCAAAGTGAAGAGTGTGACTCATTGCTTAACATGCTTTACAAAAACGAACTTCGACATACAAGTACATCATGTTTATGATTATATCGTTACATAGAGAGTAGACTTCGACTGAACCGAAGTTGAGGTAAGAGAGTTAACGTTAGGTGCATATTCAAGACTCATTCGAGTTAACCCATATTTAAAGATGACATGGTTCAAGACAACAAAGGTCGACTATAACTCGAGATGAAAATACTGTATCGGTACTGATTGTGCTCACATACAAATCATGTGTACAGTTGCATTAATCACGCTCCCATCACGAGACTGCAATATAGCGTTGTAACTTGCAAGGGTTGATAAAAATGCAAGTGAAGATTCATTATGAAACAAAATGCCACTTTGTAAATCATGTCAATTCTAGTGTGCATTCATGTTCTAAAAACAATATCTGTAAAGACAACACTTGCTAACGCCAACGAACTGATATATTGTTCACTAGTGCAGTGTTTGCATCAAAAATATAACACGATGCATATCAGGAAACTCGAAGTCAAAGTCTGCTACATTATACCATAGGATAGAAGCATGTCTGGCAAGAGTAAACCTTATTCAAAGGCTAGAACATTTCGCGTGGCCTTGCCCTCTGTTCTGGTTTCTCATCATCCGACAATGAGATGGACTCCGTGGATGTGACCACGGAAGCCAGACTCTCACAGGAGTCCTTGAGGTTAGGGGCAGTGTGAACAGACAAATGCTTCACCCCCGTCACCCCGTCCTTCTCAGCATTCAGGGGAGTTTCAATGGACACCCTGCGGTGTGTCTTATTCGCACGGCGTTTTCTGGGCTTAGCTTTAGGCCTGGTATCGCTGGATTGTCTGTTGAGGGTCTTCTTCGGAAGATCCGGTGCTTCCTCTTTGATGGGTGATTTGGCTAGAAGTAACGACGTGAACGGCGTGCAGTTGTATACGGCATCAGCGGTCAGCTGTGACCCCCTGCGCCCCAGAAGGGAAGGACCATCATCTATAGCCTTCTGTCGCTGAGGTTTGATCCTGTGGCCAGGAACTGACTGAGACTTCTTCTCGATGGACGCCGTTCTGGTGATCGGAACCAACGATCTCGTGGGTCTTGTCGGTGGCGGTAATAGCTTTTTATCAAAGACAGACATTGATTTGGCCTTCGCCAGAGATGTAGCCAGCTTAGCAACTCGGTAGAATTTCGTTTTGGGACGAAGAAATTCAATTGAGGCATGGTCAAACTGTTGTTGCTGAAGCCAGTCTATAGGGAGGAGATTTCTTTCTTTGTCTCGAAGGTTGAGAGAAGCCTTGCCGTGGCTTACAAGCACTTGACAGCACTCCAGATGACCATTGCGAGCCGCAGCGAGAAGGGCTGAGAAGCCTTCATCATTAAAGTGATCCACCTTTAGCCCAAGGCGTCGGAACGTCTGTGTGAGGAGCTTGATGGCCTCGTGCTGCCCGTGTCTGGCCCCGTGGATCAGAGGAGTATCACCTGGAACAGTAAAGACATATCATATTACAAATTCCTACATATCAGCTTCAGCGATGGTGACGGTGATCATTCATAATAAGATTTTTTGTTTGTTGTTTAACGCCGCACTCAGCACTATTCCAGCTATATGACGGTGGTCTGTAAATAATCGAGTCTGGACCAGACAATCCAGTGACTGACATCATGAGCATCGATTCACGCAATTGGGATACGTTGACATGCATCAACCACTTCAGCGAGTCTGACCATCCGAGCCCGTTAATCGCCTCTTACGACAAACATAGTCGCCTCTTTTGTCAAGCATGGGTTGCTGAAGACCTATTCTACCCCGGATCTTCATAAAAAGATTTACAGCTGCAAAGTGTGAAGAGGGAGTACACGTACTGCACCTGTATTGACTATATCATGGGGATCAAAGAACGGGCTGACGATATGAGAGGAATCCAAACTTGACGCTTCAAGCCAAAGCCAAGCTATTGACCGTAAATGACCAAGATGGATGATAATGACAACGGCATCCGATGAGTGAGTGAGTGAATATGGTTTTACGACGCCTTTAGCAATGTTCGAGCAATATCACGGCGGGGGACACCAGAAATGGCTTCACACATTGTACCCATGTGGAGAATCGAACCCGGGCCTCCAGTGTGACAAGCAAACGCTTTCACCACTAGGCTACCCCAGCGCCCTTGACATCCGATGAGAAAGAGGATGGTGATGCGTCAGTGATGGTGTAATGCACGCTAATGAGATGTCAATCCTTTTAAAGACGTAACAAAAAATATATATTCATGACATAAAGATTAAACTACCAACGACTTCCAATCACGTTGTTTCATGCAGTAAACATAAAGTTATCTACTGCCACGAAAATGGACAAGTACATGCACTCTCCAGTTACAGTACAGTTAACTACGGTTATAACGTACTCAAAGGGACTACTAATTTTAGTTCGTTATAACCGTAGTACGTTATAACCGTAGTTCGTTATAAGCATATATACAGCATAACTACAGCAAATAGGCGGGACCAAAAAAGTAAGTTCGTTATATCCGTCAGTTCGTTATAACCGTAGTTTGCTGTATTAAGATTATGCCAAAATGTTCGAAGAATAATTTTATCTTACTCAAGTTGGATTTTAAAATATACACGAAGGTTTATAAATCTAACCCATTACTACCAGACATTTTGCTTAAACAATAGTAAACAGTTTTTTATGAGCTGTCTGTTTACAGATGAGTGTATAGAGTGAAACCTGGTAAGACCGGACAACGTACAGTGGTTCATTACCTCTTGAAAGGCATCGATGCTATAACAGTAGCAGCATTTGAAATATTGCTTTAATGGTTCCATATTAGTCTAAAAGAGAAGAAATCGTATTTTGTAAATTATGTGTGAAACTGTTTTGCAACACTTGTTCAATGTATAATTCGTTCAATGGCTTAAAATGTAAATGATGTAGTTTGTTCAATACGCTTTTAAGGGTCTACCTCTTTCTGTCCCCATAGCTACTTCCTGAGAACGAGGTGAGTTTTATCACTTCAACATGTCTTTCAGTTTGAATGGGGATTGTCTATATTTAAAAAAAATATGCCATTATGAGTAATATCATTCTTATTTTCTGGTTTAAAGATTTTTTGCTCAATTTTAAGTGGTCACTTCGCCTTTAAATTACACAGAATTGATAGATATCGTTATAGTATACAGTGAAGTATATTTTAAGTCATAGTAAACATTACATACCTAATTTGATTTATTCAACCTGCATGCCCGTCATGAAACTGGCGCCATTTTATATGTAATCCGTTCAAAATGGAGGATTTAATTCAAATCTGCTGTTCAGCGATTCCATATCGTGCTGTAACTGGATTTTGAACTAGCTTCCATTTGCATACTCGATGTTCGGGTGAAACAAGATCATTCCTTTTATATTCATCAGTCTCGTCGACCGAGCAACCATACATATCAACTTCTGCGTGTCCCCGTTGTTTTGGATGACGTATTGTAAGGTACGCGCGTGGCTTGTTTAAAGTCTTGATAGACCATTGATTAGGCCTTGGAACCGTTCATGATATACTGCCTAATGCAGTTTTGCTATTTTGAGCCTCTGGACATAAACCTCTATTACAGCAAACCGTTTTAGACATATCTGATGTGTCCACAATGTAAGAAGTAAGGCCCCACTTTGTAGTTCGCTGTAAATTCAAAATGATGATTCAGTGAAGTCAAATTATCTTGAGCATATACGTGATTGTAAACGAAATATGGTAATTTATATCTCGTAATTAGGATGATTATTGGGTTTTCAGAGAGGTGCGATGGTATTTAATTACAAAGATATCAGTGAAAACTAATTGTGGGGTGATGGTAGGGCAAACCAAACTACTACTACTACTACTACTACTACTACTACTACTACTACTACCACCACCGCCGCCGCCGCCGCCGCCGCCGCCACCACCACTACTACTACCACTACTACTACTACTACTACTGGTTGATGCATGTCATCGTATCCCAGCTGCGTGGATCGATGATCATAATGTCAATCACTCGACTGTCTGGTTTGTCTGGTCCAGATTCGATTATTTACAGACCGCCGTCATTTAGCTGTAATATTGCTGAGTGCGGCGTCAAACAAGACATAAACATAAACAAACAAAGTACTACTACTACTACTACTATTAAAGAGAGAATTTAATTATTGTAATAGACATTGCTATGACTATGATTGACATATTATTTTGCACTGTGATTTTTTTATGCCTGACAGAAGTCAGAAGATAAACTTGATGTTGATGTATATGTGAAAATAGATATGCTTGACGATGATGATATGCTTTCGTCTATTTCGGTGCAGATGTTCATGACTTAACTGACGAAATGATTATAATACTTGGGAATATATCAAATTGTCTTTCTGCCACTTTATATGGAATTTTAAGAAATGCCTTATGTATAGCTACTAGACACTTATACCTTACTACTCACAAATTGTACATTGTAAATTGTAAATTTCATCGTAAATCGTCAACTAATCTAATTTATGTATTGTAGTGAGTGAGTGAGTATGGTTTTACGCCGCTCTTAGCAATATTCCAGCAATATCACGGCGGGGGACATCAGAAATGGGCTTCACACATTGTACCAATGTGGGGACTCAAACCCGGGTCTTCGGCGTGACGAACGCTTTAACCACTAGGCTACCCGACCGCTCTATGTACTGTATCTGCCTATGTAAGATCCTCGGATTCAACTCTGGAGGAAATAAAGAAATTCATTCATTCATTCATTCATTCATTCATTCATTCATTCATTCATTCTACTACTCTCCTTCAGACCATCACGACCTGTCTCTCTGTCACAACTGTCACATTAGGAGGCCCAATCAGAATATATCATAACACCCCCCCCCCCCCCCCCCCCCCAATAAAAAAAATAAATAAAAATACTGATTTAATTACGATTTGATTAGTTACCCGAGTCAATGGGACGTAAAGTGTAATATAAGTAGCATTGCCTTTAAAATCGACGGCATCGGGGTCAACGCTGTGGTGGCGGATCAGTACGTTGATGACGTCACAACATCCAACTTCACAGGCGTGACTCAGTGCGGTCCTACCCTTCAGGTCACGACGGTTTACTTCCGGTTCACGGTCCATCAGCATCTCCGTCATATACAGTCTCCTTGAGGGATCCTGATGAAATAACGGATCAGTTTAAGAATAAAGAAACGAATAATCTTTATTTATATAAATAATACTTTTACCACTAAGCTATCCCTCGGTCCTTTAGGGGTGAGAATCTGGTTCATTATCGAACTGTAGATAATAAAAGCGATTGATGCCAAATTAAATTACGCCTAACACTGTGGCCAATGTAATCATGGAATCCCACACAACACTGTGGCCAATGTGACCATGGAATCCCACACAACACTGTGGCCAATGTGACCATGGAATCCCACACAACACTGCGGCCAATGTAACCATGGAATCCCACACAACACTGTGGCCAATGTGACCATGGAATCACACACAACACAATGGCAAATGTTACCATGGAATCCCACAGAACACTGTGGCCAATGTGACCATGGAATCCCACAGAACACTGTGGCCAATGTGACCATGGAATCCCACATAACAGTGTGGCCAATGTGACCATGGAATCCCACACAACACTGTGGCCAATGTGACCATGGAATCACACACAACACTATGGCAAATGTGACCATGGAATCCCACACAGCACTGTGGCCAATGTGACCATGGAAACCCACACAACACTGTGGCCAATGTGACCATGGAATCCCACATAACAGTGTGGCCAATGTGACCATGGAATCCCACACAACACTGTGGCCAATGTGACCATGGAATCCCACACCTAACACTATGGCCAATGTGACCATGGAATCACACCAAACACTATGGCCAGTGTAACCATGGAATAACATCAACCACTGTGGCACATGTAACCATGGAATCCCATATAACACTATGGCCTATGTGACCATGGAATCCCACACAACACTATAGCCAATGTAACCATGGAATTACACCCAACACTATGGCAAATGTAACCATGGAATACACCTGGCAGTATGGCCAATGTTACCATGGAATAACATCCAACACTATGGTCAATGTTACCATGGAATAACACCTAACACTATGGCCAGTGTAACCATGGAATAACATCAACCACTGTGGCACATGTAACCATGGAAGACAACCCAACACTATGGCCAATGTAACCATGGAATCCCATATAACACTGTGGCCAATGTCACCATGAAATCACACCTTACACAGTGACCAATGTAACCATGAGAATAACAACCATCAATGTAGCCAATGTACTAAACCCAACCCCGTTACCAATGTAACCACAGAATACACCTAACACTATGGCCAATGTAACCGTGAAATTAGACCACACTATGGCCAATGTAACCATGGAATAACACCTTACACTGTGGCCAATGTTACCATGGAATAACATCACACACTATGGCTAATGTTACCATGAAATCCCACACACCACTCTGGCCAATGTAACAATGGACTTACACCAAACACACTGACCAATGTAACCATGAGAATAACACCCATATAACACTGTGCCAAATGTAATAAACCCAACACTGTTACTAATGTAACCATGGAATACACCTCATACTGTGGCCAATGTAACCATGGAATTAGACCCAACACTATGGCCAATGTAACCATGGAATAAAACACCAACCACTGTGGCCAATACAATCCAGCGAATAACACCTAATACTATGGCAAATGTAACCATGAAATAAAACCCACCAATGTAGCCATGGAATAACACCTTACACTGTGGCCAATGTTACCATGGAATAACATCACACACTATGGCTAATGTTATCATGAAATCCCACACAACACCCTGGCCAATGTAACAATGGACTTACACCAAACACACTGACCAATGTAACCATGAGAATAACACCCATATAACACTGTGGCCAATGTAATAAACCCAACACTGTTACTAATGTAACCATGGAATAACACCAACCACTGTGGCCAATGTGTAACCATGGAATAACACCTAACACTGTGGCCAATGTAACCATGGTATAACACCTGACACTGTGGCCAATGTAACCATTGAATTACACCTAACACTGTGGCCAATGTAACCATGGTATAACACCTGACACTGTGGCCAATGTAACCATTGAATTACACCTAACACTGTGGCCAATGTAACCATGGTATAACACCTGACACTGTGGCCAATGTAACCATTGAATTACACCTAACACTGTGGCCAATGTAACCATGGTATAACACCTAACACTGTGGCCAATGTAACCATGGAATTACACCAACCACTGTGGCCAATGTAACCATGGAATTACACCCACCAATGTAACCATGGAATTACACCCACCGTGATTTGACAGGCAGCAATAAGTAACGTATGTCCATCCTCGTTACGAGCGGAGTCAAGAGTCTCGTCGGACGCTTCAAGTATGATCCGTGTCTTTTTTATCCGCCCCTCCCGGAGCGCCAGAAACAGACGTTGCTGGTCAGTGAGATCGTCGTCCCGTTTCTTCCTCTCCCCAGCCATGACAAGCGCTGGAAGGAGCAGACGTGGTGGTGACGAGGGTTGCGGAACACTGTTAGATCTAACCAAATACCGTCGTCTTCTCTGTCGTACAGTATACGACGGGAATATAGTATTGATCAATGCCGTGTTGGGAAGAGAAGGATTGTCTTGAAATTAATAAATAGTTCACCAAATCCTTCTCGTCGCAATGCCAATGATATCCTTTGTTGTTGTTGGTAAGGATTCGGCGTATCTTGCAAGTGAATGTATGTTTTGTAATAAAATCCTCAACGGAATCAGATACCGTGACTGGACTGAACTGGTATGTCTGAACGTCTGTGTCCAGTCGGGGTGGAAATCCAGGAATGGTGCTTTTTTTTCTCAAACTGAGAAATCACTTTTCCAAAAGTTTGTGTTTGTGTATAGATCACTGTTGGAGGTGATTAATGGGGGATTTCGTCGACTTTAGGTAAAAAGAATCCTGAAAGACTGTCACTCTTTGCCAAGATGGAATCTTCGTCCTTCGTTACCGTATACTTTCATCATCATCATCATCATCATCATCATCATCATCATCATCAGTTTCACTCACGCTGTAACTGGCAACCTTGTTCCGATCACATTCGCTGAAAAAAATCACCGCACAAGCAAATAATCTATTCTTCCCCAAAAGAAACGCTTGAAAACTAGTTGCTACATTTGAGCGTTGTCCCTGCTGCGTCCGTTGTCTCCAGTACAAGAACAATGTCGTCTGCGCTGTGTCAGAACATCAACCCCTGACGTCAACGATTACTGAACACAGAGCATGTGTGGCCAATTATCACCTAAACAAACACAATCGTTAGCAGCCCCAAGTGTGAGACTCTGGAGACGAGGTCCAAGCTCCACGTTACTCTTCAAATTCGTCAGCCACATACATGAAGGGCGGGAACATCATCCTGATTGCTTCACTCCACTCAACCAGGCGGTTGTGCATGTGACATTCACTCTTGATGCTGCGCCATTTTACACATACGCCATTAAGGGATATTGCGGTCTCAGAGACGTGCCACTCGCTGATTAGTCACGCAAACTAGACGCAATTGGAAGTACTTGGTAGGTGACGTCACTCTGTTTGATATGTCCGACCGACAGATCTGATCATCCAGTCATGTTTGCACTGCTTTCTGGGTCCTCATTTTCAAAAGGTTCATAACTATATTTTACACAATGAGTCTGTTTCATACATACTGGCGATATATGTATATGTGTGTGTGTGTGTGTGTGTGTATATATGTATATATATGTGTAGTCCTGGCGTTCATTAGACTAACATATAGTCTATGAAATCTTTTATTACACAATACATTTATTTCCTCTAAATTTGAACAATTAGTTTTCCCAGGGACCATATACTGGTAGATGGTCTCTGATATTTCTGATACTTATTTCTATGAAGTCTTTTATTACACAATATATTTCTCTCCCTTAAAATTAAAACAATTAATTTATCCTGATGTGGAATAGAGCGGGCTTGACTTGCTTTTATATAAATCTAGATTATTGGGTTTTTTTCATAAAAAAACATTCCACAGTCATGGTGGACGAGGCATTCACTGACGCCGATGACAACGACAAACTGGTTTCTATTAATACTGAGCGTAAAAAGTAAAGCGACGTTAAACCTGTAACGAGTATAGTGAGTGAGTCTGGCAATATCCAAGCAATATCACGGGGGGACACCAGAAATGGGCTTCATACATTGTACCCATGTCGGGATTCGAACCCGGGTCTTCGGCGTGACGAGCAACGTTTTAACCACTAGGCTGCCCGACCGCCCCTTAACGAGTATAGAGTAGTGCGTAGGTCAACAGTGCAGTTGATACTGGCTGCATTCTCTTCCATATTTATTTTGGGTATAAAGTGAAACCTCATCATAATCATTATTATCATCATCATTATCATGATTCAAATTAACAATAAAAGGTATACATCTGTACCTATATGGTGGATAATGTTTAAGTACTGGTCTAACCTAGGGGAAAGGAGAGTTTTAAGCCACTTTCAATAATATTCTAGCGATATCACGGCAAACGTTGTACCCATGTGGTTAGGAAATCGCAAAAGGACTTTGGCGTGACGAGCGAACATTTTAACCACTAGGATACCCATCCACCCCACCCACCCCACCCCTCTTAGAGAAGAACTATGATATACATGTAGCTGGAATATTGATGAGTGCTAAGTTAAACAATAAACAAAGAAACTTAGAGAAGATACAATCTTTTTGATAAAGATTATATAAACGGTATTGAACAGGTATGAATCCCTCTCACAGGGTTCGCAACAACCAATTATCTTTAAACAATCTTTTGATATTCCTCTACATGACCTGAACCCTCGTCATGAATCCACCATGTTTCGCAGTAAAAAAATGAACACGTTACGGATTCGGTATTGCCGCTACAGCAATTGAATCATTTGGGGCTTTTTTTCTCTGCGATGTAATTTTTGAAAAACACAGCATCCACTTTCCAGTGCTTCAGCATCAAGCACCTGCAGCAGCGGAAGACAAAATACACCCCCCCCCCCCCCCCCCCCCCACCACACACACACACACCCCACCACCACCACCTACACACACATGCCTCTCCCCAAAACATCCAGAATGGTACAAGCACCTGCAGCAGCGGAAGACAAAATACGCCCCCCCCCCCCCCCCCCCCCCACATGCCTCTCCCCAAAACATCCAAAATGGTACAAGCACATGCAGCAGCGGAAGACAAAATACGCCCCCCCCCCCCCCCCCCCCCACACACACACACACATGCCTCTCCCAAAAACATCCAATATGGTACACTCACAACAGCACGACGCTTGATGTTAATTACGTCAGGAAACATTAGGTAATACAAGTACGCACTGTACAAATGTACCAGCAGCAGTCTCTGTTTCCTCTAATTGTCACAAAGCATCTGGTCGATACTGCACAATGCATCACACCAGTCGTCCATAGAACGCCGATCGCAATCACAGCCCGCTGAACACAATCATGAGGGAAGAAAGAACATTTCACGACTCCTACACATCAGCGTTTTGTTTACATGATGCTCTTTTTAGGGATCACAACTTCTTTTATATTTTGTAACGATAATTCAGTGCAATTCAACAGTTCCCGGTATTAAAAAACCATGAGAATGCAAGGCCGAGGAGTCTGTATACTACCATTAAATATATTTAGCCAAAGGTAGAAGTCATGAGTCTCCCCCTCCCCCCACCCCCCAAAAAAACAACAACAACAAACAAACAACAACAATCAATCAAACAAAAAAAACAACAAAAAAACTAAACAAAAAAAACCCCGATAACCCTCCCCTTGTGACACTCGCATTAATGGATGACCCTCCTCAAATTCCCGCTGCCCCGACCGGTCCCTAACACGCGGCTAAAAATATCGATGTGAGAGAAATACTATGTGAGGTTACTGAGGGACCGGTTTTTCCCCTGGGTACTTATCCTTGACGGATCAAAGGCGTATCCCGGGATGACCTTGCTGAGTTATGTTTTTGTAAACATCCTCGAGAATTTGAAGCAGGTCTGTTTTCACACCCAAGTGCTCCTCTTCGGGAACGTAGTTGAAAAGTTTGTGAAAATCACGAAGTTGAGTATCAAACTCACATTTTTGTTTGTTTATCAATTGTGAGATATATACTCACCGACAGAAAGAAACGCGAACACCATAGATGTTAGTTCATATATGAAAACTTACTCATATTCAAAAGACATCAGATTGGTTCGATGCACAAACGAACATACTGGTATGTTGGGTGAACCAACGCTCATGAACGCATCACATGTGACGTCATAGATTCATGACTCGAGATGCACCACTTGTCTCGTTGAGGATTAGCGCTTAAAGTTTGGAAATCACGTGCAGGATATCATGTTAAGAATAAAGACATTCTGTGGTAACACTTGACTGATTGTTAGTTTTGCCTTTATTTGGTACACATTTGAAACATCTGTTCTTAACGTATATATTTCTCATATGTTTCACCGAAGTGGTAAAACGTCTTTCCTCCACACATTGAGCTGATACGCCGTGATATAACCGGAATACTGTTAAAAACGGCGTTAAACCCATCTCACTCACTTCTCATATGTTTCTAGAGGTCGCGTTTCTTTTGGCGGTGAGTATATCATGACCTTAGATTTGACTTAGTCAACAAAGCTTCTCCCACTGACGAAACTGCGTTAGGTCCATCTCCATCAGCAACTGCATCCTCCATGTTTTGTTTGTTTGTTGTTTAACGCCACACTCAGCAATACTTCAGCTATATGACGGCGGTCTGTAAATAATCGACTCTGGACCAGACAATCCAGTGTTGGCATCATGAGCATCCATCAACGCAATTGGGATACGATGACATGCATCAACCATGTCAGCGAGCCTGACCACCCGATCCCGTTAGTCGCCTCTTACGACAAGCATAGTCGCTTTTTACGGCAAGTGTGGTTTGCTGAAGACCTATTATACCACGGATATTTTATGCTACAAAAAGTGGCGTAAAACCATACTCATTCACTCACTAAAAGCTAATCGAGCTGCCTTGACACGTTGTTTATTGCGTACACTTCTTATGAACACATGTACCGTCACGTTCAACTTTAATTATCAATAAATTTTAGTTTTACTATTTCAATAACGTTTAAGTATATGTTCTGTTGTGGGAGAATTGTCTAGACGAAATAAAATCTCATTTAAATAATAAATCATTATAATATGTAGATTTAACCAAGCGTTAACAACGTTAATATTTTACATTTGTATAAACTTAATGGTTATGCACGCACTATTATGCATACATGTCCATGTATACTTGCCTCTTGTAACTATGACTAATAACTATAACGAGCTTTGGCAATGCGATATCCGAGACTAGATATACTTTAAATTGATATTAATTATTGATCCTGAAATCAAATCTTTTGCGATGATTCTCACATCAGTATTAGAAGTCAAAACATTACTTTCGATTCCAACGGCCTTATTTTCCTTTCAATATATATATCGTGAATGTAAAACATTACGCACGTATAATAATATAATAATAAAACAGAATTTTGCTGCATATTGCAGGCGTGTTTTGATTTCTAAGGCCGTGGATAGGGGAGGTAACTCTGATTAGAGTCTTCTCGTACGAACCAATCAAATTGCTTTTGTCATTTCGATGACCTCGCATGACCCAAAATGGCAGCATCCATATGAAATATCTAAACCTTACGTGGCACAACCGAAATTCTTTACGTATTTCGCGACCTCACGGCGGATTATCTTCTACAAAACCATCACAACACATTAGTGCAAGACTCCAACACGTGAACATATTGCAACTGTGTGATGTTCAGCATGCGAAACGCATCTTAATGATGCCGACAGTACTCGGCCATCTTCAGTTCGTCTCACATTGAATGGTAAATCATTTGTTTATGTCTGCTTGTAATTGATAATATGGATTAGAGATTTATGTGATTTATGACGATTTATTTCTTTTAGCTTCATTGAGCAGATGTCATTGCAGCTTTGATTTCACGCCTGACGACTTCAATATGTCATTATTATTTTGCCATGAAGTCTAAGTTATAAAAACATCATGGACACGTCCAGACGACAACTGGACCCACTAGTTAGAGCTAAGACGATCGTTGCTCCCATGCTGTAACCAAGGAATCACTATAAGAAGACTGTGCACTAGTTGTATTTACCGCTGTAACATCTGAAGGACCTTTGCCTCGTCATGCATGGTGAATTTCACAGTACCTGCGTACACAGTTGATGTGCATTCGAGCGTGGGGTTGCATTTTTATACTTTTTGTGATATCATATCATCCACGGACAAACCAAATGGTTGGCTAAGGGGTTATGATGAATAGCTTGTGTTGGTGATTGCAATTTAGTATCACTATCATGTGCTCTTTTGGACAATTAGGGTATAAAATACCCTCAAAGTAACATATTTTGTGTTGGTGCATAAGCAGTGCTAAAAAGCTTCATGGTGCAGTGAATATATTGCTGATTGATTTGGATATCCATGAACATCATGCATTGTCTTGGGTGCAATCTCTATAATTAGAACTAAAATGTTAAAAAATAAAAATCATTATATAGGTTTATGTATCATGACATATGTTCATATTTGGATGAGGTATTCTTTGTTCGTTCAGAGTGATTCAAAGGATAAAGAGGTGTCATGAGAAAAAAATATGGATCTACACTTTATAGAATAGCAAATGCATTTCTTTGAGTATCATTGTATTTAACAGTATGTAACACTCGCGGCTACTAGAAAGCTCTACACAATTTATGCATGATTCCTGATGTCCTTTATGACAACAATTAAGAGATAATTAGGCATGGGCACATCAGTTTCATAACAAACTGGGTATTTGGATAATAATAACACTTTTGAAAGTCAATACCCAGGCAATAAGCATGTCAGTCAGTGACTGGTAACTGGTACTATTTGCATATTAAATTTTCAGTTTATTTAGAAGAAGATTATGAAAAGGTAAAAATAGAAGGATGAACAATCATAAAACATGTACAAAATCACACACTGCAGGGTTAGAAACTAACAGTTTTCGTCCACTAGTCCTTATAATAACATACAGCAAAACCCTTAAAAAGGGCAAATTTCTACTTGTCCTTATGATACCTTTACCATTGGGCAGTTTGGCAAGGACTATAGCACTAGTGCCAAATTCTAACGCTGCATTGCATTTCAACAATACCAGAGAATATATGCATGAATTTACGAAAATAATATCACTATCACTATAATACAAAATAAGTCTACCAATAGTAGACATGGTAGAAATATGTCATTTACCATGTTTACACATATTATGTACACAAGTTACATATTTGACTTCATACGTTTCATGGGAGTCGACACGGGTGGCCCAGTCGTCTTAGGCACTGCTATTACATCCCTGCATCACTTCAGGCTTTCGTCCCACATAAGCTGACATGTCGTTATATAAGCTGAATACTGTTAAAAGATTAAGCCAAACTCATTTACTAAATCACATGTTTTAGAAACTTGTATTTTAAAATGCGAGATAGAATTGTATTTTCTTACAAGAAATGACATACAAATGGATAATATTCGCAGATCATTCCTGTAGTACACAGAGTTTGAAAAATCAGTGTCAACTACAACACATGCATCTATAGTTTCACAATCACTGATAGTCTGTCAGACCCTGAAACAAATATATCCAATACAGCCCATGCTAGTCTACATGGTCGAAAATGTTTAGCAAGTCTAGATTACTGCACTATCTGAAAATGAAGAAAGTCTCTGGGCTCCATTATATTTTTTTTATAACTATAATTTAACAACTATTTTTTCTGTAAAATATGTTCATTTCAGAGACTAGATGTTAGTCTAAATCACTGACTGCCGCTGTGTTACCATTTCATCATGTTGCTCCCAACTTATCAAATATATCGCCTGCAAAAATAGCTTTGATATTTGGTAATCTTTAACCATGTCAACAGGGTATCGCAAAACTTTCCAGTGCTGCTAAGGCTATTGTTAGCCAGTCACAGTAGTTTCATGGCGCAAACATTCCAGATTTCCAGTATTGTGAATGAGAAGCTGGAATCATTACCCTATCTTTCTAGGGGGCCTTGTTTTAGCCCCTTAATGCCGAGCGCCAGACAGGGTAACAACAAGTACCATCTTTTAACGTCTTTTGGTATGACGCGGCCGGGGATCGAACCCCGGACCTTCCGCTCTCCGGGCGGACGCTCTACCACTAGACCACGGAGGCGGTCACAGGTGGCCCAGTCATCTAAGGCGCAACGATTCGCTGTGCAAGTTGTGTCCCTTGGGCACGCCAGAAACCTATGATTGTGGGTTCGAATCCTGGTTCTCCCAAATTATGTTTCTAGGTTTGTCAGCACCATACCCGTGCTTGTGGGTTTCACCGAAGTGGTAAACATCTGAGACCTGCATCACTTTCCTCCCACATTAAGCTGACACGCCTTGATATAACTGGAATACTGTAAAATGCGGCGTTAAACCCAACTCACTCACTCACACACGATCTTTCTATCACTGTTTTATCTGGTCTGGACTTTGTTATTTACAAGATGAATTGGGGAAAAATTCTTGACTGCAGCATTCAACTACCTTTACTCATTCTAAAAATACTTCTTTGTACAACTATGTTTGTTTGTTGTTTAATGCCACACTCAGCAATATTCCAGCAATATGATGGCGGTCTGTAAATAATCAAGTCTGGACCAGACAATCCAGTGATTGACATAATGCGTATCGATCTATGCAATTGGGATATGATGACATCCATTATACAAGTCAGCAAGCCTGACCACCAATTCCCTTTTGTCACATTTTATAACCCAGAGTTTTTAGGGGATGTAAAACTTTGTAGATGGTGTAGGGTGGTCGGGTTGCCCAGTTGGTAAATCTTTCGCTCGTCATGCCGAAGACCCGGGTTTGATTCCCGACATGGGTAAAATGTGTGAAGTCCGTTTGTGGTGTCCCCCCACCGTGATATTGCTGGAATATTGCTAACCATACTCACTCTCAAACTCACTTGTAAATGGTGTAGGGTTGAAAGCCAGCCCAGGAACAGCTTATCAATGATAATAGTGGTGATGATGCAATTATTAAGAGGACTACCTTTTTGTTTTGCAGCTACCATATATTATAAGGAGGTGTAATAATCCACGATGAAAGTGACAAGAACTGTACTGATAGTGTGCCTGTTAACTACCTTGCACATCCACATTCAGTTAACTGAAGCTCAGGGTGCACGATCACAAGCTCAGTCAAAACAAACTGGTACGGGAGGAAACAGAGGTAGTTACCATGCAGGGGATGATGAGGAGGACCTTGATGATTATGAAGACCTTGAAGACTTTGAAGAAGGTAGGAAGTCTTTACCTCCCGAGAAGCAGGCTCCAGTAGGTTCCCAATCTGCCTCCCAGTCTTCTTCCCAGTCCTCATCCCAGTCAGATCCCAGACAATCCCAGACTCACCAGGCAGCACAGCATAAACCACCACCTCTACCTCCACCCCATCAACCTCCTCCTGTTCACCAAGCCCATGTCCCTCCATCACAACAACAACCTCATCATGAACCTAGTACACAAGCCCCCAAAGCCCAAAGCCCAGACCAGATAACCAAGGAAGTCCCTCCGGCAAGCCAGGTTTCACCAGACAATGTACAAGGAAGCCCACATTCTTCCTTAGAAAGCTCTCACTCATCCCAAACAGCAGATCGTGCCTCTCAGTCTTCTCAAAGTTCTCATGCTTCTCCTGCCAATCCTGAATCTTCTGGGGGGTTTGAGCCCTCCTCCCACTCCCAACATCCGGACATCCCTCCACATCAGCAGCTCCCCCAGAGTTCTCAGCTCCCAGATGGAGGGCAAGGACAGGAAGATGCTCAGCTTCGACAGGAAGATGGGGCTGGAGTTTCCTCTACACAGGCATTGAGAGCAGGTGAGTTTCATTTTCTCTTTTTAGTATTTTTAAGTTTAAATATAGAGAATATGCTCAAGTGGTGAAGATCATGGCCTGTGTCACTGAGGCCTTTCCTTGCGCAGAAATCATTGTCAAACTGAGCAATGTTGACAGGCCATGTTACTGAACACATTCAAAATGATTTTCAAACAGGCTTTATCATGTTTATAACACAATTAATTCACTCATATTCTTGTTCCCATGCTCTGTTCAGCAAAATGATCAGCAGGTCTTAAAGACATCAATGTAGCTAAACAAGGATGTTTAACCTTTAAGTTGAGGCTGATGTTTATCATGTTTTTGAGCATGGAAACAGTCCTACTTTACACTTGGTAAACTTAACTGTTTTGTTACTTGGATCGCATACTTAGGGGTGAAACAGTACAGGAAGGTCACGATATGATACGTGTCACGATATAGGTCATGATACAATACGTATTATATACTTTTAATCGTGAAATTAATGCGTCTCCAAAAGAATGTGAACGTTGACCCCTAGTTAATAATGCAACTCAATATGAATGCGACATCCCCTCCTCTCAAGCATCAGTGGATTTATGTCTAAAGAAAATGTCCTCTATCAGGTTTACACTTACAGGAGAATCCTCACCCTCATCCAACCTTACATTAATCCAATCACACACCAAATAGCACTGCTCATTAGCGCTGATTAGAGTACTTCCGCTAAAACATTACATGCGCACTGGCTTGTGTCGGCCTTTGACGCAGTCGCAAAGAACAAAGACACCATATTGTGTGGGAGGCGTCTGTCTGGACTTGCAGGTGTGATCAGTGATGACCTAAGTGTGTAGAACTGTTGTCTTGACCCCAGCAGTGACAATTCATAGGATGTAATTAGTGTTTGAATGGCATTGTTTATATACTTGTTACAAGTGCTGCTCAATAAACAGTGATGTGGAATACATAGTTGTTTGTTTTCAGCGTATGTCTGAGTTGGTATTTCTGCTATGCAAAATGTCTTATTGTTGATATAAATGCGTTGTTTAATAATGCGAGCAAAGACCACTCACATTTTTCGCATTTAATTCATGCTTGCGTTTATTTCAAGATTTACAGTATATGTATACTCAGATCGCATAGAACATGTAGAAACTACTTGACAATAAATATTTCAGAGCAGGTTCAAAAAGAAAAGCTAGCTGAAGTGAGTGAGTGAGTTGGGTTTAACGCCGCTTTTAACAGTATTCCATTTATATCGCAGCGTGTCAACTTAATGTGGGTGGAAAGCCTGAAGTGATGCGGGTCTCAGATGTTTACCTCTTTGGTGAAACCCACGTGCACGAGTATAATGCTGACAAACCTAGAATAGAAACAATTGGGGCGAACTGGGATTCCAACCCACAATCATAGGTTTCTGGCGTGCCCAAGGGACACAACTCTGCATAGCGAATCGTGGCGCCTTAGAAAGCTGGGCCACCAGTGACCCCAGCTAGTTGTAGACACATGTTAGTAGCATCTATTTTTAGTAGTGAACTTGAACCGCTAATTACAACACATATTGTGATATTTGACTGACAAAAATGCTGGGAGTGGGGGTAGGCATTAAACAAGTAGTAAGTACGAGGAGCGTTCAATAAATTTTGCAACTTCAATATAAGACCATGTCGCAGAATATCTTTTTCACTTTAATTTTTCAATATAATCTCCATTCACCTCAATACACTTATTCCATTTGTCCTTCAAGCTTTTAATAACACTTTTATAGAAATCCGCAGGTTGGCCCTCTAACCTCGCATCTGTGGCAGCCTTTATGACAGGCTTTATGTCCTCGTCATCCTGGAATCGTCTTCCATGTAGGGTAGATTTCATTTGCCAGAACAGGAAATAGTCACTCGGGCCTAAGTCTGGGCTGTAGGGTGGGTGATTTAACTGTTTGAATCCACATTCACATATGGCGGCCTGTGCAATTCTCGACTTGTGAACCGTAGCATTGTCATGCAAAAGTAGAATACCATGTGTTTACATCCAACAGCGTTTTTGGCGAATAGATTTTCACAATTCTTTCATTACATTAGTATAATACTGTTCATTGACTGTAGTATTTGGTGGCATTTAATCAGTCAGTAAAATGCCTCTTGCATCCCAAAATATGGTGGCCATTACCTTGCAAGCTGATGGTTGAGTGCGAAACTTCCTTGGAGGTGGAGAATTGCTTTCACTGCATGGATTCCAATTTAGTTTCTGGGTCTCAGTGGTGGATCCATGTTTCATCACCTGTCACTAGACGATAAACAAATCTGGCTTCATCAGCAGTATAGAGATCCAGGAGGTTTCGACAACTTTCAGTTCTCTGACGGCGATCTTGATCTCTGAGGTTTCTAGGTACCAATCTTGCAGATACCTTGGACATACCAAGTCATATCAGTCAGACAAAATTCTTCTTTCTATAGCAGCAATGGTTTCCGGTTGGGTGGCATCTGAAGGCCTGCCTGACCTTGGGTCATCGTCTATGGACTCCCTACCCCTTTTAACAATGTTTAAACTGTAGAGACCAACGTCAAACTGTGGAATAGTCAGGAGCATCCTTACCCATCACTTTACACAAGCGATCATGGATTTCTTTTGCTTTGCATCCCTTCTTGGTAAGGAACTTTATTACAACACGTTGTTCATGTTTGAGAGAATTCATGATTGTGACCACCCTTAGGTGAACGATGCCATCATATCTAACTTATTGTTGTGTCTGGAACTTGTTATAACACATGTCAACCTGATGTTATGACTAGTGTCACCATGGTCACACCTGCCACAAGTTCACATTGTTTGTGTAAACACAATGCCCAAGTTGCAAAGCTTATTGAACGCTAATTTTTTGTTTTAGCAAGTGTATCGGTTGTATTGACACAGAAAAAAACATATTGTGTATCGTATCATTGCATAAAAACTCATGGTGCACCGAAGTATCGTTTCACCCCTTATGCATACACAAATAGTAATCATTGACAGTAGGATGTATCCATTAGATAAAACCAACTACAAGCTGAAAGGCCACCAAGCAGCATTGAACAAGTCATTTTACAAGTTAACTGTTAAAAGAGGGCAAGTGTATCGTATAGGTTTTTTTACTTAACAAAAATATGCAAGACAACTGTTCCCATTCCATGAGATGTTCTTATACCATGTACATGATGTATACCTTTCAAATTTTTCAAACTTTTAACATGCTTACACTTTTTAGAAACATGCAGCTGATGCGAAATTGTTTGCCATGCTTGCCACTTGCTTGCAAAGCCTTACATAGCTTAAAAATAACATTTTGTTATTCGTCAGCCAACATCAGCCGACCAGGAATAGAAAAGTACAGAATTCAATTATTCTTTTGTCACTACTTAGAAAATTGGAACAGGTAGATAAGTGATCAATGCATTTGGCTAACATGGCTAATGAAAGATGGTGAGATCATATGTTTATGTTATGCAGTAGTTATGTTTGTGGGAGATTTATATGCTTGCCATGCTTTCTGATTTAATGCTTTATTGAGACAATGGTATTTCTTATGGTTTTAGATCATTTTAATTTTTCGAACATGTCAAAGAGAATTGATAAAAAATAGTATTGACAGGCGGGAATGTGAAGTAAACAATAAGCTGTGCATGATGTGAGCTTTAACAATGTAAATTAATTTCAGTTTAGTTTGTATCAACACCATCATCCCAGGATGTCAGCATGATCAACAGGTTATAAGGATATGTCAGGCACTAACATAAACATGACAAGACTGTTACGACCTCATGTGTAACAAGGTACACACCTAATGTCAATCTTACACATATTAATCATTTTAATGTGAATGTCATCCAGTCAAAGAATCATAGATCAATCAGCATTAGTATGATGATGATGATGATGATGATAATGGTGATGATGAATCCTTGCCCTTGTCTGTAGCACTGGTTTATTTACAAGTAGCACTAATCAAGAAATCATGACGTTCTTGAAGAAAACTAACCATTCATCATTTGATAAGGGTTGCACATCAACTGTCTTCAGATCAGAGGAAGGCACCCAACATGCTCAGCTCACAACAAAGAACGCCGGGCACAGGAACACATAAGCAACCAAAATTCAGCAAATTAAACAATGCAAGGAATCGGCAGAGAATGTCTATTTCACATACCAGTGCTGATTCACTCGATGTTGGATATAAACACAATGAAGCTGAACAGTTGGAACAAGAAATGAGTGAAAAGAGAGAATATGTTCATCCAGTTCAGCACAAACATAATGTTGTTACAAGTCCAAAGAGTCGACAAGAACAAGAGGAATTGGATCGACGAGAACTCGCAAAATCATCTGAGGACATTTCAAAACATCATGATGCAGCAGGTTTGCATAGTAAGCAACAACAGGGTATGCATGACTTTGTGAAGGGAGAAAATTTGAAATGGCAGGCAAACATTAAAGCTATGCAGGGTCCATCTGTGTCACTGCACCAGAGGCAAGGTCAAGTCTACAAGGAAAATCAGAAACATTATGAAGATCCCCCCCAACAGGCTAAACAGGCAGTTCAACAACATGATAATCTCTACAAGAAACAACCTGAAGAACCACTCCAGCAGACCATGTCTCAACATACCCATCGCCATCAAACACATCAACAACAGGGTCTGCTCAGGACTCAAAGTCTGAGGCAAAAACTTCAAGGAAAAGAACAGGCATTCTACAAACACACTGGAAGGACAAACACTGGCACAAAACACTCACAAGGTACCAACACTGGCATACAACACTCACAAGTGACAAACACCGGCATGGAACACGTCCTTGCGACCAACAATGAGATAGAACTCTCACAAGGGACTGACGCTGACATAGAACAACATGGATTTGGTCTGCTTAGGACTCAAAGTCTGAGGCAGAAATTTAAAAAAACCAAACATGCATCATACAAACACTCACAAGGGACCAAATTTGGGAAAGAACACTCTCAAAGAACCAACATTGGCACTGAACACTCACAAGGGACCAACACTGGCATAGAACACTCACAAGGGACCAACTCTGGCATAGAACACTCACAAGGGACCAACACTGGCATAGAACACTCACAAGGGACCAACACTGGCATAGAACACTCACAAGGGACCAACACCGGCATAGAACACTCACAAGGGACCAACACTGGCATAGAACACTTACAAGGGACCAACACTGGCATAGAACACTCACAAGAGACCAATGCTGATATAAAAACAACATGGATTCAGGCCTCAGGTTCTACTCAGGCAACCTTGCATCATACAAGCACAATCACAAGACTGACTTTAAACCTACATGGATGTCTGAAAGCAGACCACAACAATATTAACAACTATCAGACTTTCAACGACATATGTTTATCAGCAAAAGAATATGGTCATTCACAGAATGAGGATGAAAAGATTGAAAAAGGATGCCATCAATAGCCAAAAGAGAAGGGACTATGAACCTCATATGTCTGAAGACCGTTTTCTGTGGGAAGAGGAAGAACAAACAGACACTGTTAATCTATATATTAGTTTTTTTCACAAAATGTTAAACTGACGAGGAAGACAAATTTTACAAATGCAGAATTTCTTTTAGATCTATTCAGACAGGTCATAGAAACAGGGGTGATCCAAAGTCAATAGACACATGTACGTTGACACTGTGGAATGAAGAGACATGGCAGAAGACTTGACTGTCTCCAGTGAGCAGGGGGACTCTGGTCTGACGAGGCAAGAATATGTTTCTGTTACAGATGGCAACATTGAGGATCATGTTTCCAGGACTACCAACATAGATAGTGACAAACCTGACAAAGAAGAACAATGGCCCTATGTTCTTGAAATGAAGAGGCAACAGTATATCGTCATTGAGACTCAGGGGCAGGGTGAGAGACGAAATGAAGTTGAATCAAAGGAGCAAGATGAAGGTCCTCAAGAAACCCTGGAAGAAGTTGAACAACAGACCCTTGAAGAAGATGAACTTCAGATTCTAGAGGAAGATGAACTTGAGACGCTAGAAGAAGATGAAAACCAGGCAGATATGGAAGAATTGCATGATCAGCAGAAAGTAAATCTTATCGAATCTGAAGAAGAAGATGAAGTCAAGGACACTGGCTATATTCCAATAAGGCAGCGGCAGTGGTTTTCTGACACCCTACCACCCAAGTCCTCGAGGACAGCCAAGGACAATTCACAGAAGGTGAAGGTTGAGCATCGACTAGAAAAAACAGCCAAGCCACTCACAGTCGAAAAACTACCCAGGCCTTATGACAGGAAAAGCATGGACATGACCACAGTGAAGCGCATCTACACTACCACAGAGACAACTTCAAAGAAGACTCAACTGCTGTTCAAACCTGATGAGTTTGGATTTGTTAAGATGACAACATACATTCAGAAGATCCTGTCAGATGGAACAGTCCACACTGAGTTCTGGACTGAGGTCGTGGAACACATCCCAGAGCTTGTTACACACAAGGATCAGTTAATCGCAGAAATGGCTCGGCTGAAAGGTGAGGGGACATCTGTGTTGATGGACGTGTCCTGTCTAGCGTAGCAGTTTTGTTGCCTTCCTCACAAACAGATGTTACCGATGTGCTTGTCTCTCTATTCTCAATGTGGAATAAACTCAGGGTTTATTAGATCTTAGACTGACTGGGACCCAAGGTTTGCAGTTCACCTCTTCAACATTGCAGGAGATTTTATGTAAAATAATTACAAGAAGGTTAAAAATGTGTATTGCAAACGTAGCAAGTTGTGCTACTGCTGGTCCCAGGATTTGGTGAAATAAATCCCTGACTCGTTTCACAGTCAGAGCTCTCTCTAGCAAGGACTCCTCTTAACCATAGCAACACTCAATAGGTAGAAAGTAATACAACTAATCATAGTCATGCTAATGGGATGTAGTGTTATAGGATTATAAACAATTAAAATGGAACCTATATGACTATGTGTCTATCATCATGGAACTAACAAGTTTTGAAGTTATTGTGGACTTGCATGCCAGCATGCATGTTGAAACCCGCAATGCAAACACTATCGTTTCATAGCTGCTATGTAGAGTAGGCATAGTGGGAGCTCTGACCTATGTGATCAGTGTTGTGATGATCTATGTCTGCACGAGCCAATGTCATGGTCTATATCTGCACTAGCCAATGTCATGGTCAATGTCTGCACTAGCCAATGTTATGGTCTATATCTGCACTAGCCAATGTCATGGTCAATGTCTGCACTAGCCAATGTCATGGTCTATATCTGCACTAGCCAATGTCATGGTCTATATCTGCACTAGCCAATGTCATGGTCAATGTCTGCACTAGCCAATGTCATGGTCTATATCTGCACTAGCCAATGTCATGGTCAATGTCTGCACTAGCCAATGTCATGGTCTATATCTGCACTAGCCAATGTCATGGTCAATGTCTGCACTAGCCAATGTCTTGGTAAAATTAATGTCTGCAATAACCAATGTCATGGATTTTCTTCACATGCCCAATATCATGATTTTTCTGCACATGCCAATGTCATGATTTTCTTGCAGTATTAATTGAGCTCTTATTGACGTTGGCGATATTAAATGTATTCATTAGTATAGTAGTAATCATTATTTTAATGTTAATTGGTAGTAAAATAGTAGTCAGAATCATTGTAGTACATGTGTATATTGGTTTTCTGGAGTCAGGGTAGTTGAATGGTCTAATAGTAATCTGTACTCATGTTAGTATAATAGTAATCTGTAGTCATCAGCATGATCAGGGATAATTCTAGGGTGGGGCCTTGTGCTTTTAGCCCCTAAATTCGAGAAAAGGCTCACCTTTTCAAATATAATGGGGCATTTTAACATTGTGCTGTGTGGGCAAGTGTGGGTGTACCTTTGGAATACTGGAAATTTTCACATGAAGGGCCCATGTCCAAAAATTCCTAGAGTGAACCCTGAGTCATGGTAGTTGAATGGTCTAATAGTAATCTATAGTTATGTTAGTCTAATAGTAATCTGTAGTTATGTTAGTATAATAGTAATCTGTAGTTATGTTAGTATAATAGTAATCTGTAGTTATGTTAGTATAATAGTAATCTATAGTTATGTTAGTCTAATAGTAATCTGTAGTTATGTTAGTCTAATAGTAATCTGTAGTTTTGTTAGTATAATAGTAATCTGTAGTTGTGTTAGTATATTAGTAATCTGTAGTTGTGTTAGTATATTAGTAATCTGTAATACTAATAGTAGATCAGTGTACCATATATCCATATTGTTATTGTGGTGTTGAGTAAGATGGTGATGTGGTACTATCCATACACTATCCATACACTATCCATATGTATAGTAAGGTCATGATGCTATACATTGATATGTATAATTTGGCATGTTAAGGAGACATACTCCATCTTCAGTGTCAGTGCCAGAGAATAACACGAGACTCAATCAGAAAATTGCTTTAGCAAGCTTGCGACAGTTGAACAAACTATGGCCTGAGAGATATTTTGGCAGATACCATCAGACATTTCTTCATATTTACATCATAGGAAATGACCCCAATGTTTTGCTTATGTATCATTTTGTATCAGTGTATAACCTGATGACACACTGCTTGGTACCTCATACTACATGTGTGATCCATGGATACTACTGTGAGTTGATGCAGGTCTTGTGATGGTACCTTATACTACATGTGTGATCCATGGATACTACAGTGTGTTGATACAGGCCTTGTGATGGTACCTCATACTACATGTGTGATCCATGGATACTACTGTGAGTTGATGCAGGCCTTGTGATGGTACCTCATAGTACATGTGTGATCCATGGATACTACTGTGAGTTGATACAGGCCTTGTTATGGTACCTCATACTACATGTGTGAACCAAGGATACTACAGTGTATCAATACAGGCCTTGTGATGGTACCTCATACTACATGTGTGAACCAAGGATACTACAGTGTATCAATACAGGCCTTGTGATGGTACCTCATACTACATGTGTGAACCATGGATACTACAGTGTATCAATACAGGCCTTGTGATGGTACCTCATACTACATGTGTGATCCATGGATACTACAGTGTATTGAGACAGGCCTTGTGATGGTACCTCATACTACATGTGTGATCCATGGATACTACTGTGAGTCAATACAGGCCTTGAGATGGTACCTCATACTACATGTGTGATCCATGGATACTACTGTGTATCAATACAGGCCTTGTGATGGTACCTCATACTACATGTGTGATCCATGGGTACTCCAGTGTATCAATACAGGCCTTGTAGTGGTACCTTACCACATGTGTGATCCATGGATACTACAGTGTATCAATACAGGCCTTGTAGTGGTACCTTACCACATGTGTGATCCATGGATACTACAGTGTATCGATACAGGCCTTGTAGTGGTACCTTACCACATGTGTGAGCCATGGATACTACAGTGTGTTGATACAGGCCTTGTAGTGGTACCTTACCACATGTGTGATCCATGGATACTACAGTGTATCGATACAGGCCTTGTGGAGGCACTTCATGAATTACTAGCACTGGTTTTTAAAGGAGTCCTCAGAAAACTAAATTGAAAACAAAAATCTAAAACATTTCAGTTTTTTTGTTTCAGATTGACAGTTTTTCACACCATTTTAGGACTTGAAGATTCATAAGTTCTTTGAATAAATCAGCAGAGGAATAATGTTGTAGAAACAGAACACAATTGTTTCATGTGTTTGGGCACTATACCTGGTTTCATCTACTCACAGTGCCTGACGGACGGATCTTTTGGAATGCATTTGCATTTTATTGACTTTGGAGCCATGGGTTTCTAACCCGATGGCGTTTCAGTTGAAACCTCTGTGTCAGAATCAGAATCAGAATCAGTTTCTGCTACCATGGTTACTGATGTTTTTTAACCTTTTCTTGTCATTGGTATACATGGTATAGATGAGAAAGAATGAATCTTCAATTGTGTTCTCTTGGCCATGTTCACTGACCGTCAAACTTAATGCTTAGTAGCAATATTCAATGCTATGCACTAACACTCTTGGGTGAAATGAGTACTCACCTGTGATTGGTCAGATATGTAGCATATTAATGTAGCCTGTCTATTTATAGATATTGGGATTCCCAAAATGTAAATATATTTTTAAAAGAAGGCAGACGTAACTGCAGACTGCAAATAGCTTCAAATAGTTTTCAAGGTGGAAATAGATGTTATTTACAAGCCATAGGGACTGTTATGTTTCAAACAAACTTTCTGTTTCTGAACCAGCTTTTGTTTGGAATGCTGTCAACATTAACTCAGTAAACAAAAGTATTTTGTAGGAATTGTACGTCAAATAGGCAGGATTCCTGCATCATGTGAAATGCTGATATTACATATATGATAACGAGATCTATAATACAACCCGAGGGATGGTACATTGTGTTACATGAAAGACCCGTGGATACTATAGTGTAGGGCCCTTGTGATTGAACATCAAACAACATGCCATAAGCGACACAACATAAGCGACACAACATGCGACACAACATGCGACACAACTGATCCCATTGCAACTACATGGACATCTGCCTTTGGCAGCATCTCTTAAAGCTACAAAACAGATCTCAAACGGAACAACTCATCACACACTTTCAGTACACTGACACTGACTTCATTCAGAACACAAAGACATTATTCAAGAAGGCATACCCTTAGATCTAGGATTATTATTATTATTATTATTATTATTATTAGAAACTGACAGTTTTCGTCCACTAGTCCTTATAATGATAACATATAGCAAAACCCTTAAAAATGGCAATTTTCTACTAGTCCTTATGATACCTTTACCATTGGGCAGTTTGGCAAGGACTTTAGGCATGATAGGACTAGTGCCAATTTCTAACCCTGTTATTATTATTATTATTATTATTATTATTAACACCATGCATGTATTGTCAGTCTTACTGTTGTATTACCTTTGTTTTAGTTGCTAACTGGCATAAACAGTAAAATTAAATGATGACTTCAATGTTTAATAAACACCTGCAGGCCTCAAAGTTTAAATTTTTACCAAGTAGCCACATGGCTACAAGTATTTTTTTCCAGGTAGCCAGTGGTAAAATCAAGAAGTCAAGCCATTATTGTAGGTAGCCAAAGTCATTTGAAATGATCTTTTATCAAATAACTATTACATGTACAAGTCATAGCACTACTCTTGGAATTGTATATTAGTGGAAACTGGACTTGAGTTTTGTTATTTGTGACTCGAACAATGATGCAATTTATGTTACTAGGTTATATAGGTATATCCTTGCTTATCCAATAAACTATCAACTAAAATAAAATACTACTTACATTAGTATTTATGCATTTCGGTTCATTGTTGACTTTAGGAGGAATTATTTGCGAGTACAATTAGTAGCAGATATTTATTTTTGTGTCTACGTATGTGTAGCAATAGAATTTAGTCACCACGAGATATTTTTCAAGGTAGTCATTTGGCTACCTCTGAATTTTAGGCAGTATATAAATTGAAATTT